CAAGCCAATCTGAACCTGAACGTCTGTCATCCCTCCATACATGGGTGGCCCAAGATGTACGCAGTGTTGCGCTGGACGCGCTCACAAATTCACAACAACTTGCATGCAAGTTTAGTATTGAGCCATGCATCAAAAAACATCAGCCGGACAGCGGACACATCCAGACAGCCCTTCAGTCTGTTCATTGGCAGTCACTGGTATCCATGCCAAGAAGAAGAGTCAAGCAAGACAAAGCGGAGGAAGCTCCTCGCATGCTCGCAACATGCCTTAGAGTCCCCAACAGAGAAGCCAACTTAGCCTGAGTAAGTAGCGACAGTGTCAACCGCGCAAGTCAAGCCGCTCAGTCCTCGACGCAGTGCTTCGTTGCTTTGCTGACACTTGCATTTGCGATGAGAGATAGAATTGCGACCCAGGCAACCTGGTCGCACTTGCTAGATTGCATTCCGTGTCAAGCCATGCGTGTCAAGCATCAAAACACACCTGCCTCGGCCAAGTCATTCCACAAAACTTTCAACTGCATGGGCATGAACGGAGAGTAGGTAACCTTCCAAGAAGGATGGTCAACATCACAAGCAAATGCCCAAGTCTGTTTCAAGAATCAACTCTGAGTCGCTGACCAAGTGCACAAATGGCCAAAAGCGCCAGCTTGACCACATTGCTGCTGGTAGTGTCTCCCGCACGCGAGAAAGAATTAGCTTGAACTGAGTTCCAGCTAGAATTCCCAGGAATAGTGCATATACCTGAGACGCAAGGACTACACAAGCATCAAAGCGTTCAAGCCTGGAAAAAAACAATTCATCTCCACTTGCGTCCTCAGAGAAGTCACATGTTGGGAAAAAAACACACGCGCGCTCGGCTGCACAAACGAATGCCAACACGTTAACACCCATGTCGATGCGCACAGCCGCTTTGACTACATGAATGCATCAAGACGCATCTCCATGCGCGCACACATTCACACACACACACACACACGCACACGCACACGCACTCGCACACGCACACGCACACGCACACGCACACGCACACGCGCACGCGCACACGCACACGCACAGGCACAGGCACAGGCACAGGCACAGGCACAGGCACACACCCACACACATTCCTTTTATCCTGAACATGATTTTACGAAGGCTCGACACAGTTTTTTTGTTGTGACCTGCTGCTTCAAACCCCAGGTCAACAAGTCGAAAATCTGGGCTCAGGACGTGACAAGCTGCAATATTATGTTTTCAGACACTGTCGAGTAGTGCTAAGATGCTTTGTGTAGCTTGTCCTGGCAGACACAGTAGCGTGCTAGGTTTCAGGGAGAATTCTGTAGCAGGCGCGCACGCTCTCAATCCCCTAGATCCTTTTGCCACCTTTGTGAGTACCTCCAAGAGGAAATCTACACTTTTAGGCGGCATTTATAAGGTAGTCGAAAAAGAACCACTCTGCACTAGACACAAAGAAGCAGCAAACAACCATGAGCACTTCTGATTAGGATGGGCTCTTGCAAACTCATGTTCAGGGACCAACCCTGCTAAACCAGGCCAGAAAGCGCCGTTTTAATCAGTGCAACCTACCAAAATTTATTCCCCAACCCCAACTCAAAACACGGCGCATACCATGCGTTGGGCAAACGCGTTAGTCGGCAGACAATCATTGCCAGTTGGTGGGTCGGAAGTGCCTCTTCAAACGGAGGCAGCATGATGATGCAGCTCTAAACAAACGAGTTGATGCCAAATGTTGCAGTGTGTTGGGAAGAGCCCTGCAGAAAACAGCTCACGCAAGTCGCGTAATTTACACTGAACCAACTCCTGTCAATAAGAAAGCAATACTAAACCGATATCAAAGCAATCTGATGTATTGCCATGTGGAACCATTTTTGGGCCCAGAAAGGGGGGAGGGGCATTGGACGTTGGACGAGGACCGTAGCGGAGCCCCGCTACCCGAAATGGAGTGCCCTAGAAGTAAAAATTGTTCCGCCTCCATTTCTCGGCAGGGATGAATTACCAGTCGTGCGGGATTCCTGAAGTGCGACTGGCCACGAACAAACCCTTCCAGGGATGAAAGTCATCGTGCGGGATTCCTGAAGTGCGACACGAACAAACCCTTCCAGCAACATGAGGCTGGTAAGTTTAACGTACGGCAAGGCTAGCCCTTGACAAGAATGGACTGAGTGCAAATCAGGTGCGGCATTCAGAGTTGCAGAGAAGATTGTCTGGTCCATGAAGACTTTCGCGACAATGCAACTCCAGCCCTCTGGATTTGAGAAATAGCTGGCAAAAGGTCCTGCTTGCAACCCCTTTTGAGGCATGTAATGATTGTAGCATGTGAATGTCACAGCTTGATATCTTTGCTTGTGCATTCCGCAGTGGCTTAACCCCCACTCTCAGAGAATAGCTGCGCAGCCTTAAAAGAGACATCAGTCTCCGCACCTTGTTATTTTGACTGCTCGGGAATATACAGTATATCAGTATCCTTTGAGCCCTATTTGCGCTACAGGGGGGGAGGTTCAGGGGGGGGAATGGTACCGTTCTTGTTCATTCAGAACACATCTCATGAGTTCTGTGCAGTCATGGTGACTCTACGGAACAGCGTTGTCTGCTGACTGATGAAAAGGCGCGTCTTCTTGCTGCTTTTTACATGTTGGGACTAAGATCGGTGGACGTGGTCCATTTTCATTCCTTCCAAAGACAAAATCGCAATTGTTTGACTCAAATCACACTGGCATTGACTACATCCACCGATCTTGGTCCCGGCGCATGGCAAGCTTTACTATTGCGCTGAACACGTACGATCGAATTGGCCCCGAATTGGCCCAAGGCAATGTGTCCTTCCAACATCAGAATCCAGTAGTGAAGGATCGGACCGTGCAAAGCCAAGCCTCGGATTGGGTCTGCATTCTGCCTGCCCTGCCTGTCCTTTTGCACTACCTTATGCTACTGCAAATACCTCACCTCAGCTGATGCAAGCCGCCCACAAGCCCATTGTGCAAGCATCGCCGCATATCCGTCAGTTGATGGCCTTCAAACATCTGCGCCAGCAAATCACCAAAGATGTATGCCACTCCTGCGGGTGAAGATGTTTGACAGGTCAGAGTGTAGAAAACAAAGAAAACAAAACAGAACTACTTGGTTCAATTGATAAAACGAAGCGTGCCTGATGTTGCTGATTTTGCCAGCACAGGCTGTGCAACAGCGAACTCACTGTAGAGCTCAAGCATGTTGAAGGGCATGTGTGTCCACACTTGAAGGGACTCCAGAACGTAGTGGGTGTTCATGACACAGCAAAACCTTTGTAGGCACGATGGCTTGTGGCGCTGCAACTGTGAAAACGGCGTGAGGACGGAAAACAAACAACAACAAAAAGAAAAACTAGTCTAAAAAGCACGGCCCCTCTCATGACCCACACCAAAGTCCCAAGTTGAGGTCCTGCAATAGGGCCCTTGTTGCATGCAATTCTCATTTAATTTGTACACCCATACCTTCGAACATGAAACCCACGCTTCAAAGGAGACTTGCAGAATGAGCAGCATATTACATTCAGACCTTGAGGATTGTCTAACCCACAGGCTTCAGACTAAACCTTGATGAGAAAGCATCTCAGGTTTCAGAAATTGAAACAACACCTGATGTCGGAGGAAACTCCTTGTGAATGAAAGGATTAGCTTCAGAATGCAAAAAAAAAACACCTCAAAAGGAGCATGTTGATCAAGTGCTTCATGACCCAGAACTGGAAGAAAACCTGCAGAGTAAGCAACTGGGAAGAAGATAGCTAGCGTGATGACGATAGATGCTCATGATCCAGAATGCGGACAACGTTGTCAGAATGAGCATTTCAATTGATTCATTTGATAAAGGTTTTGATGAAGAAATCTCAAGACTTAGGATTCTCCATGCAGAAAAGCATTTTAAACTCAGAACATTAAATCCAGGGTGCTTCTACGAAGAACACTTTGCAATGCCAACTGCTGGATTTGCAGCAGACGTAAAGCCAAAGACTGCTGTGCTGAGGACAGTTGAGGTGGTCCAGGGGAGATCGAGCCTCCAGAGGGTGTATATCACACACTTTGGGAGATTGCTGCTCCTATTACGTGCCAGGCACAAGAACTGTGGCTAAATGTCCGAGAAGCTGGAACACGCCAAAAATGGCAATGGCATCTTCTCGTAGCACCAGTCCCGCAAAAACGAGAGCAATCGCCAGAAGCACTGGCAACTTGCTTTGATTGTCCTCCAGCCTGGTTGTGCAAAGTTGCTGCCGAGCCAGTACAAATCAACGAACAGGAAATCACAAGGAACATATCAGTCGCTGAACTGCTGACATTCACGCGCCAGTGCTTTGCAGTTTGAGTCGGGCAGCTGCACTTCAACATCTCCGCGGTGACTCGGAAAAAGCCGAGGTGTCCTGAAGGGCAAGTTGTCTCTTTAGGATAATACTGTCACACGGGCCCAAAATCTCTATAGGCATGTTTATTGCTTAGCATAAGGCGGTAAGCTTGGCCTTCTGCAAACAAACTTCTCTGTATGGCCAAACAACCGCTGCCAGCTGTCTGAAGCTTCACCCGGTGTGCTCAGATGGACGTCCTGCGCTGTACCATCTCCGCATGACTTTGCGATGCGGCATATACACGCACCCAGCGTTGACAGTGTGTCACTCCGATGAGGATCACCAACACGCAGGCCCATGCTGCCAAGCGATGGCACTTTAAGAATGAAGGAGCAAATCGCCTTCTTGGCATTCGCTGCCGAAGAGAAGGCGCGCACATTCTGCTCAAGCAGCTGTTAGCAAGGAGAATCTGGCATTCTGAGCCCAAGCTTAACAACAAGTCCAGTTCTCATTGACTCGCTGACTGCAAGCAATGTCTCCTGGCCTCACGCAAAGCTGCGGAACGCACCTCTGACCCGAAGTCGTTCAGAGCAGCCTTGCACCATTGAGGGGAAAATGGCAGAGACTTGTGCCGGTGGGTGAGTCATAATGAGAGACTTCTTTGAGCTGGCCGACGTGTGTCTTGTTCACTAAGCAGCTGGCGCCACATCGCTGTACAGCCTGCACAATAGCTGCACTCTCTACATGTTTCGGCAATCCAACTAGGATCGGCCCCAAGCCGCATGATGACCACAAACCCTCAGGCAAGCACCTGCTCGACCGATGGGCATCCGTGCAGGGACTTTACGAGAGCTTCAGCCCAGTGTCTGACAGAAACCTGGCAAGCGTGCACACAGCCTCGTTTACGGGCCAAGATACAGTGCAAATGTGCAAACTCAATCTCTGGAATGTGTCAGTCAAATATGATGGAGTCCTCCTCCTTCACTGGCTCTGAAGAAGATGCGGCCTTAGGTCAAACATATCTTTGCTCAAGATCATCAGAAAGGCGCCTGGCAATCTTTGCGCATGGGTTTGTTTCTGCTGAAAAGAACTCGCTTTGCACCAAGTGAAGCTCCGCATTGCTCGTTCCCTCGATCATGCCCCGCAATCGCTTCAAAGCCGGCTGATCCTGTCACATCTGCAAAAAAAGGCAAAAGCTGTTTGATTGGATGCGGCAGCCCAGTATGTCCTGAGCATCATCTGGCATGCGACGGAGTTCTGCCTCTTCCACTGCCGCAGCTGCAGCTGCCAAGAAGTCTGCATCGCAGGATGCCTTGGTTAAGGAAGTTGCAGATTAAAAGGCTGACTGTACGCAGTTGCTGATAACATGATGCGTGCGTGAATCTGAATGCAAAGATGCTGTTTCTTGTGCAGTAGTTGGTGACGGCTCGTCAGGCCTTGGATGCCAAAACAATTGTTGCACCAAGTTGCACCTGTGTGGTCCATCATAAGGGCTCCGGGCCCCACCATGGATACATCGTGCAAGCGACTTCGCTTGAAAAAGGGCTCAAGCAGCTCCTGGTTTGGCTGGCACTTGTCATTTCGTTGGAGGTGGAGAAAAAGAGATGCCAACAACAAGAAATGTGCATCTTGAAGATCACCTTGTTTAACATAGACAATCTCTTACTGCAAAAGCGGAAGTATGGCCTCGGCCGTGAGCGCGCGCTTGCAGCTTACCATCATCCTGACACAACCCTCAACGGTCTGACCTGGCTGGCAGAGCTAAGCTGGGTGCCTGTCCAGTTGTGAAGGTGCCGCTGAACTCTGAATCACACAAAGATAACAAGGTAAGGCTAAGCCAAAAATAGCGGAAAAAGACTGGTGAATGCTAGGACTTCAGCAGGACAGTCGCCGAGCAACAAGCAACATCTCGATCGTTCGCCAGTCTAGCAGAAACAACTTGCAGCACGTGGAGATAGACGGACAGACAGACAGACAGACAGACAGGTAGACAGGCAGGCAGGCAGGCAGGCAATAAGCAGGCAGGCAGGCAGGCAGACATACAAACAGACAAACAGGCAGAGAGATAGGCAAACAAACAAGGACAACAACGCCTGGATGGACCAACGAAGGAGCGGACGGACGGGTAGACATACACTCACACTGACGCATTGACATAGACTCAAATGCACGCTCACTAACACAGCAAGAGAGAGACAGAGAAAGAGAGAGAGCGCGAGATGGAGAAAAGAGACACAGGCACAAACTCAAACTCAGACACAAACACACAGACATGCAAAGCACGAGGCAATTTGCACAACACGCAACGCACAAATGCAGGCACAAACACGCAACGAACGTGCAACACGCAATACAACAAACACAGGCGCACAAATGAAGCACGGCTGTTGTTTGACACATATTATTTTGGCTTCCCTTCACTGTGGTTTTCTCCAATCCCATCAATGACAAATTATCAGGAGCGCTTTGATCTGAATTGAGAAAGTAGCATGGAAATATCCGCAGCATAAGTTAGCCTGCGATACCAAACGTAGAAGGGGTGGGGTCCTTGCATTTCTGGTTTGCAATTTTAGCACTGCAAGCACATCCAGAACAAAGCTTCCACTTTCACCGAAACCTCATTTGTCAACCTGCAACTCAATCAGCAAGCCAAGACCGGTGGCACAGTCATACGCAAACGCGTCCTTGTTTTTTGGCATCTTGTTCATTCAACGATTCGCACTTGCGCCGCAGCTCCTGAAAGAGAACGCAGTATGCGCCAAAATGCGAACACTGTCGTAAAAGTACAACAAATAAAAATATTGCCTGCACCAACAAAACAAAATATACAAAAATGCACGCCAATAAGCCAGATGACGTTTGCTTGCAGCCACACGTGCGAACAACATCATGGCAACGTGATTTTTTGCATCAACACCCTCATGGAACGATTCGCATGGGCCAAACCAAGCAGGAGCTGATTGAGCCACGCGGCAAAAGCGAATGACGCAAAAAAGCAACCATTGGCCGAAGCGATTTCTGTGTATCAAGATTTTCGAAACGTAAGCACACAAACCGATTCATTCCAAGACTTAGCTGATGCAACTTACGTGTTTGGTGTGTTCTTTACTACCTTTTTGTTGGCCTTGCCTGAGCCACGGACCTCATCGTTGATTCGTGCAGAAACTCAAAAGCAACGTGGTGTCATCACCTTGCGAGCTTCATCCATTCATGTAGTGCTCGTCATGGTGTCTTGTACCACAGCTCCAATTTATTCCTCTGTTAAGTTCTGTCTCAGCACGTCTTGCTTGGTTCCAATTTCTGCCTTCAGCCGCAATCCTGAAGCGTGCGGCCACGGCCTACACATTTTTCACCTTGTTGCTTTTTGCTTCGCAGCCACCGTCGATATCGACAGTGCGCAATTTGCAATTCTGACAAAAACCAACAAATGCCAGCACGGGAAAAGGGTTGCTGAAATCATCAAAACAAAAGGCCCGAACGTTTTAGGAGAACATGCACTGTTCCAACCTAACAACCCAACCTTCGACACGACAGGAACGCTCTCCCTTTTCTATCCGGTTGCGCTAAAGTCGCTGATGCGAGCGGCGCACTGCGGTGCACGGCAAACAAATGTCACGCTGGAGTTAAATCCTCGATGAATTCTTCGCACAGCGGTGCCGAGGAGTTTTAACGAACCACAGTTTGGGATCCCAGTTGTTAGAATCCTGTTCACTGCTTCAAGCCAAGAGGGAACAAGCAATAAGAAGAAACACAAGCCCGACCGACCCAATCGTTCCTGCTCCTTTTTTATTAACAGTTCCCGGAAGGGGGCCTCTTGGCCAACGTCCAGTTCAGCCATGTGAAGGGCAGCCATGTACTCCGTCTTCTTGGGGGTTGCTTCCTGGCTGCTCGATTCACTCTCTGACTCCGGGGGGCATCTCCGTCGCCGGTTCTCCTGACATGGCAGTTTGCGGCAATTGCGAACTCGTCTCTTTCCGTCAACCAAAAGGTTCTTACAAGCTTCTCAAGACAAAATGCACAAGACGTTCACTCACACAAAAGCTCAAGAATCCACACAACGGCGCTGACTCGCACAAAGCTCGAAGGCCCACGCCAGATGAAGCGCTCGCCGCTCGCACGGCCTCTTGACCTTGTTTGTATTCTTCCGTATGCCCCAGTTGTACAACCATTGATCGCCACCCCATCGTTCTTTGAGCATCGCCTTGATTCTCTTCGCGCTCGGAGCGTTGACCTTTGTACTTTCTGCAGGTGCGCCGTCCTTCGAGCTACCGGTGCCATCATTCCTCTTTGGATGAATCTTTCCCTCCTCATCGGCATCAATTGCATTCCGCAATGTTGCCCATTGTTCAGGTGTGAACCCTGCCGGTCGTGTTGTCTTCATAGTCCTGAATCCATCTTCACCGACTGGATAGGGTCTCCCACGAGCATCAAGCTTGACCATCTTTCCAAGATCGTTCCTATAAATGATACCATCTTTTGCTTTCCCTGTTGATACATGGGGTAGGTCAGCGACGTCATCAACAGCGTCTTTGTCTTCCGTACTCCCCGGCTCGACGACTTCGACGTCCTTTCCCTTCTCGTCATGCACGATCCCAGCGATCTCCTCGACCTCATCGAGTTGTCTCTGTCTATATCTGGTTGCTCTAAATGAACGCCTCTTTCATCTTCCCCTCTGATCTCCTCAACACCTTCAAGAGTCTCATTCCTCTTCTTGTATTTCTCTTCAATCCTCTCGGTCTGATGCGCCTGGCGTAGTCGAGGTGGAATTCTCGCCTTCCTTACGGAAAGGTCGGCGCCGGCGAAGCTTGTGAGAGCCCAGGCACGATACTTGCGTGCCCAGTGAAGACCACATCTCAGGTTGTAACCAGCAAAGATACCAGTTTCCCCCTTCGGTTCGAATTTCTCTCTCTTGTCTCCTCTCGCATCGCTCGCTTTGAACTCAACCAGCGCGCCAAATGGGATCTTCTCACCCTTGAAATATTCTCTACCCAGTTGATCTCTTCGACTTTCGTGTGGCACAACGCAGTGATAGCGTATATCCAATAGCATGTTGGAAGTCCAGCATGTACTAGACATGCAGTCGTTTGGTCCACGATGAACTGGTTCGTGCGTTCGGCAAGCGAATTGTTCTGCTTCTTGCCCGGAAGCGATAGATCATGGGAATCTTCAGTTCAGAACATGCGTTGATGAACTCCGGCGCATCGTCCGAGTAGACTTGCTTGATCTTCCGTCTGCCAGCAAAATGTTTACGCTGTTGATCACCGTCACGGTGTTCTTGCGACCAATTGGATAGCCCATGATGATGCCAGTGTGTGTATCTCGAATGATCACGACGTACTTGTCATTGTTCTCGGCATCTCCTGCGGCTTCAACCAGATCGAAAGTGATGAAGTCTCCGAACGTCTTGACTTCACGTTGAAATGCACCAGACTTGGATCTGAAATGTCTCATCTTCGCCTTCACACATGATTTGTAGAATGGGTTTCGATTCCTGTGCGTTAGCAAATGTGTCAATGTGTTGGCATCGTCCTTCAATTCTCTTCTTGATGGATGCACCTTCGTAGATGTCGACTTTAATACCTGCTTCGGGATCAGCATCATCTTCACCCTCAGCTGCGTCTTCTCCCGGCTCGGGCCCGCGTCCACAAGCCTCTTCACCAGGTTCTTCGACTCTAGGCGGCGCGGGTCCCGCTGGCAAGCCGAAATCTCCGGCTTCGACGCCATCCTCCTCCCTGGCAAGAGCATATTGGGGATCTCCGACTTCTTCATCCACTTCTTCACCACCATCCTGTTCAACACCGATGATTTCCTTGAGCATCTTCATGTGCTCCAAGATGTCTTCAGAAACGGGTCGATGGCGATTGCTCCTCGCGTTTCCAAATCCAGTGAAAAGAATATCCCATCTTCATGCATCGTCGACCAATAGATAGCACCGTCGGCGTCTCATCCAGAACAAAAGGTTGGACTGTTTCCTTCAGCTCACTCACGTAGTACTTGATAGAATCCAAAGTGGATGTAGTACCATTTGCCGTTTGGAAGACAATCTCCTTGTCTTGAACAATGTCAACACCGAGGGAGGCCGCCTTGGATTTGCCGATGAAATCATGACCACACCCTGCGTCCATCAGCCATTTTACTCCCTTGCATTGGTTCCGCAGACCGCGCGAATAGACTGATGGGTTGTCCGTGCTTCCTTTTCCATTGCACAACTCATCCTCCTTGTCATACTCGAAAGTGAAGGTTCGC